GGCAGCCCCGCAGCAGTGGTGTTCTGTGTTTAAATGTTGTTAATAAAAAGTTTTTAAAAATAAAAAAAAACGGAGCGCTGGCCCTGCAGCCCACACATCAGACCAGCCCACCAGGAAATCTCCAGACCCTCCTGCAGCCATGCTGGTTTTAATTCTCTCGTGACAAATTCCTTAATTTCTCACCATTTCAGTCATGGTGTCAACGGAGCAAGAGGAAGAGTTTGCTTTCCTCTTGGAAAAAAAACCAACCAATAAACAAAAGAAAAGGCCATTAAACCAGATCAGGGATGAAGAAGAAGTAATACAATGTTGTCGCATATAAAACAGTCTGTTGCCGGGCAGTTTATTGTGCGACACCGAGTACATGGTCGTAAAAATTGAGCTTTGCATGGACATGCCTTGCGGGCGTCCGCTTCAACTCTAATCCGGTACGCGCAGACCTCCGTGGACAGACGTACGCCCGACTACTGGGGCCTTAAGCCTGCAGTCTGAGAGCGAAGTGCACTGCTAGGAAAATATGAAACAATAAGATCTGTAATATAAGATGGAGCTAGGTTGTTGAGAGCTTTGTAGGTTAGAAGTAGGATTTTGAATTCTATTCTGGATTTGACAGGGAGCCAATGGAGAGAAACTAAAACTGGAGAAATATGATCTCTCCCAGTAACTCCAGTTAAGACTCTGCAGCAGCATTTTGGATCAACTGAAGACATTTTAAAGAAGTATTTGGACACCCAGATAATAAACCATTGCAATAGTCCAGTCTAGACGTGACAAATGCATGGACCAGTTTTTCTGCATCATTTTTAGATAAGATGTTTCTAATTTTAGTGATATTACGCAGGTGGAAGAAAGCAGTTCTAGTAACGTTTTTAATGTGGGGGATAAAAGACATGTCCTGATCAAAAATAACACCAAGATTTTTAACATTAGAACTGGAGGCCAGATTAATGCCATCCAGAAAAAGTGAAAGACTGAAAAATTCATTCCTAAAATGTTCAGGTCCAAAAACCGTAACTGAAAATTTAGGGTCATCCATGTTTTTATGTCTTTAAGACATGCTTGTAATCTAAGTAGCTGATTTGATTCATTGGATTTCATGGACAAATATAACTGTGTATCACCAGCATAACAATGAAAATTTATACCATGCTGTTTAATAACTTTACGTAATGGTAAATTAGGTAAAGTATTACAATGAGGTAAAGGGTACTGGTATCGCAGGCTTCAAAAACTTTTTGGGGTCAACAGATTGTCTTAAAAGTTGCTCAGATTGTAGAAACGAGTTTATAGTGAATTACTTCTTGCTTATTTTATTGAATCCTATAAGTTGTGTGACTTTTAATGACTGGAATATATTCAACTTCTGTGTAAACATATTAAACCCACCTGTCCCGTTGATCAGAGATTGTAACATCTACAGACATAATCCTAACAGTTCATAGTCAGTATTTTTAAGTCTTACACAATCTGCTAGTGCTCAGAACGTTTGGGATCAGACAACCACACCAAACTTTAGGCCAGTGTCTGTAAAATCCACTGATTTATGGATATTTTTGTATTTTTACAGTCAGTTGGCTGTGACAGCCATCTTTAATTGGTGTGACACCAAAAAATATTCAGTTCTAGATTTAAATGAAGTGATTACTCTGTGTGTATTTTGGTGGTGGTGGTGGTGGTGGTGGGGGGGGGGCACACGTGTGTGCGCACGTACTTGTAAACGTACTGAGTGGGGACTTTTCATTGACTTCCATTCATTTCTATAGCCTAACCCTGACCCTTACCCTAATCAGAATCCGAATACGCTTTATTGTCATTGTACTGGAATACAGTGAAATTATGTTTGTACAGTCCGAAAGATGGGCAGAGTGCACGTTGCTTCTGCTGAAAAGCACGGCCCCTTATTCTTCATCAGAATACTTTTAGAAAGAAAAAGGGAAGAACCGTGAGTCAGAGATTCTTTATTGTCATTCGCACCACATGTATGTATGTTTTATTTATTCATTTCATTTTATCCAAACAACAAATATAATACAATTTAAAGAAAAGAAAAAAGATATACAATCACAGAAATAAAATGAAAGGCAGCAGAAGAAGAATGAATTCTTAAAATATCTGCCCCTTGTCCACAAAATATATTCCAAACAAATTTACTATACAAAAGCAAGATGAATTAATAAAAAAAATAAAAAAATAAAAACTTAGCTAAAATATAAGATCAACTGTAAACAATTTTTATGAACTCACATTATACTTAATATTTTTTTTAAAAACAAATTTTTATCATCTTCTTGAATAAGTACATAGTTTTGGCATTTTTAATATCAACCTCCAGATCATTCCACAATCCAATACCCTGAAAAATAGTGGATCGCATCTTCAGACTGGTGCAAACATCTCCATCCCCTTAAGATAATAATTACTTTCTCTTTTAACAAATTTCCCTTGAATGTTAGTAGGTAGTACGTTTTTGTTGGCCCCATACATAAACAGTAAGATATTGTAATCAACCAAGTCATAAAATTTTAATATATTTAGCACATGTGGTACATGTGGTGGAGCGAAATTATGTACACAGGGTCCCAGTTACATCCAGTAATAAAATTTATAAGAAAAACAGTAATAAGATTTAAGAAAAGCGTGTGTGCTGGGTGAGTGGGGTCCTTCATGATGCAGGTGGCCCTCTTCCTGCATCTGGAGGTGTAGATGTCTGTGATGGTGGGGAGACTGATTCCAACAGATTTCTGTGCAGCCTTCACCACTCTCTGCAAAGCTTTTCTTTCTGCAGCTGTGCAGCCTCCATGCCACACATTGATGCTCGAGCACAGGATGCTCTCCACTACACACCTGTAGAAGGAGGTGAGGACTGAGCTTCCCAGACCAGCTCGTCTCAGCCGCCTGAGGAAGTAGAGTCTCTGATGAGCTGATGGTGTTGTTGCTCCAGCTGAGGTTGTCATTCAGGTGCACACCCAAGTACTTGTAGCTGGAGACCACTTCCACCGCAGATCCTGATGTGGGGAACCTTCACATTGCAGATGTGAAGGTTATTCTCTTTGCACCAGCTCTCCAGGTGTTCCACCTCTTGCCTGTAGCTGGACTCATCATTGTTTGTGATGCATCCCACCACCGCTGTATCATCTGCAAACTTTACAATTTGTCAGCCTGGATGGGTAGCTCCACAATCATACGTGAGCAGAGTAAACAGGAGAGGGCTCAACACACATCCCTGAGGAGAGCCAGTGCTGAGGGTTATGGTGGAGGAGGAGACGTTGTGAATCCTCACTAACTGTGGTCTGTTTGTTAGGAAGTCTAGTACCCAGTTGCAAATGGAGGGGCTTAGTCATAGTGTGAGTAGTTTGTCCATCAGGGTTTGGGGGATCATGGTGTTGAAGGCGGATGTGAAGTCCACAAAGAGCATACGGACGTAAGAGTTTTCTGCTCCAGGTGGTTGAGCGCAGTGTGGACCACAGAGGAGATGGCATCCTCTGTTGATCGGTTCTCGCGGTATGCATACTGATGAGGGTCCTCGTTGATGTTGATGGTTGTTTTGATGTGAGTCATGACCAGTTTTTTGAAGCATTTAGCGACTATCATGGTGAGGGACACTGGCCGATAGTCATTCAGACCAGTCACTGTAGAGCTTTTTGGGACTGGGATGATGGTGGCAGTCTTCAGGCAGATGGGAACTGTCTCCAGGGTAAGTGAGGTGTTAAAGATGTGTAGTATGACATATGCTGGATATATTCATACATTTTTCACGAGTTCTTCATCTTTCTGACTGTGTAAATGTCGTGCATTGAGTTTAACAGAAATGCGAACGAGAGACGTTATTTATCTTTGACCCATCAAATGAATGCGGTCATTTATTTGCAGAATCAAAGTTTAACATCAAACATTTACATTAATTTGGCAAAATATGAAAACAATAACAATGGCAAGTTCACAGAAAGTGGACAATACGGCGATTGTCCTCACTTCTCAGCAGAACAACAGACATCAATCACACGGCGGTGATTGAGAACTTTGCTTCAGATATTTCTAAAATATCTGTAATGATTTTAGGAGAAAGGAGAGTTTAAGATGGAAAATGGAGATTTATCTTACAGAGAGATGTGTGAGGGAGTTTATCTGTAGGACCAGAACAACACGCTCTTTGGGGAATCAGCTTGGCCACGGTACACTTGGTCGAAATAGAACCTTCTACCTGGTTGATGATAAAATCAGCGTCGGCGTAGGGTTCCTTTCTGACTCTTTCAGCGTCTCCATGAGGACAGCCAAACCCTTAGAGAGTCGTGCGAGGTTATCCAAACAGAAGTTATAATTCCCAAAATCCTCTCTGCATCCTGGATTGTCAGAATTCTGAACTCCTTCAGAACTCTCTTCAGAGAGTTAAACTCTGGAACTCTTCTCCATGAGCTGCATCAGAGAGTTTTTCATCTCTCTTCTCTCCAGGAGAACTGTCACTCTTTGTAACTCTTTAACTCTTTTACTCTTTAACTCTTTAACTCTAGCGAGAACCGGGAAGTTGCCACATTTAAATGAGTTGACTTCCGGGTCATTTTAGAGCTTTCTGATTGGTGGATGGACCAGATCAGAGGTGTGGTTTGTGATGTAAGGTGTTATCAAAGTCAAGGGCAGAGATTGAGATTGTTTAAAACAGACAGAAAGATTATTGGAGAAAACCAGACTTCGTGGAGTCAAACTCTCCTGTATCTTCTGTGAAAGTTAAACATGACATTTCTTCTCAGTAAACATTTTAGTTGACCGAAACTCGACCTTTAACATACTTACAAATTTGCTCATTGAAGACAGAAAAATCAAGAAATGCATATTACCCTGATTTCTTCTTTGAATGAGGAATAAAAATCATTACTTACTGTTTATGTAAATAAAATGAGTAGTTCTCTTCAACCTGTAAACATTGAGTGAACTAACACAATTTGATTATCAAACATTTGTAAAATAGTAATGATTATAGAGAATTGTCTTTTCTACTTGATTAATTCAAGAAAGAAAGTCTCCAGATGGCTCAAACTGTATTTCTGGATGCAGATCAATGAAATAACAGTCTCTGTCCATCTGGTCAGTTTTGACATAGGCCTAGTCCACTACAGATGTCTGCCAGCACCTCGCAGAGCTGATTGGCACATTCTTACATTTTTCTGGGGATGTTGTCTGGGCCGATTGCCTTGTGCGGATTAATCCTCCTGAAAGTACTCCTTACTTTGGCTGAGGTCATGCTGAGATGCTCTTCATCCGGTGGTGAGGTGAGTCTGGTGCTGGGTGGTCTGTTCAGGTCTTCAAAGCGTGCATGGAACTTGTTGAGTCCTGCTGGCACTTTCTAGTTCAAAATGACCAAATTTATGGGTATCCACTCCACTGATCCATGTTATGAGCCTCCTTCATGGTCGATCCCAACATGCTGACGAGTCCCAGAAGCTGCAGGTGACCTGCGATTCTCACATATCGCTTCCATCTTACGGTTGAACCGAAACTGCTGCAGATGTCTTCTTCAAAAGTTGATTAAAAAAATCCTAACATTAACAGTACATACTTAACCCATCCGCAATTGACAACTTAGTCCTAAACGTAACCCCTAACCCACCGAGACTTCTCCTTATGGGGACCTGGCTTTGGTCCCTGTAAGGTAGAGTTGCATTCGGGCCCAAAAAATCAGATCTGACCTGGCCCCAGCCCACAGTCATAATTTCTGAACTTCACCCGACCTTACGAATTAACAGTAATTACAGGTCCAAACCCAGAAAGAAACTCCAACATTTTAAATTAGTTATTAACGGTTGGGGACGTGCAGCTGAATAAAAGATGTAGAAGATTCAGAGCTGAGAGAGTGTTTGTATTTTCATGGCCATAAAAAAGTATTTAAACCCCGTTTCTGCCTGCATTCTACTGAATTTTTCATTCAACCTTTATTTAAACAGATAAATCACATTGAGCCTCGAAGACTCATTTACAAGTGAGACCTGTTTGGACAGACAAAAACAGTGGTTAACTGGACACATGTAGGAGTTGGAGGCAAAAAAAATTCCTATCAGACTTTTTTCTTGGCAAATTACTGCGACATGCGGACAGCTCTGACACACGCGTCTGCTTTGGGATCTCACCTGTTTGGGTCGTCGGCTGCGCGCATCTGGTATGACGTATGGCAGGCCATGTTATCATATAATTGGATTGCGGCTGATCCTGACCTAATTAAAAGCCCGACACCGGCCCGGCCCACCCATTATTCACATTATAACGGCCCAGCCCTAATCTGGGTCGGTCCGGGCCGGGTTTCGGGTTCAGGTTAGCAATGACAGCTCTACCGTAAGAAGCAGTTGGTCCTCACAGTGTAGTATAAGTTGGAAAAATGGGCCTTACAAAGTATCATAAACAAAGACACACACACTCCACCTTTTGGTGAGGGGCAGTAATAAAAGGTGGAAAGTTAGACTGCAGATGCTCAGTTAGTGATTTGAGGAACAATTTGAAAGACACAAATGTAGCATATAAATAATCAGATCATACCTGAGCACAGAAGCGCTCCACGTTCAGTCGCTGCGTTTGAGTCATTGTTCTGTTGCTGTTTCAGGCCCGACAGCAAAGCTGTTCTCCTGATCGAGTCTGGAACTCGTATTCACTCCACAGACTTCGAATGGCCCAAGAACATGATGCCTTCGGGCTTTGCAATGAAAGTAAGTAGAGAGTAAAGCTTTATTTTGAAAATCATGCTGTACTGATTAAAACCAGCAGTGATTTCAAAGCTTTGCTGTAACGACATATAAGTTTGATATTTAATATTTTGCACAGTCGGCATAAAGAAAGACAAATGAACTACATTATAATCCTTACATGGTGGACTTCTCATTGGGATACATGAACAGTGTCTGTGTTTTGTGTCTATACAGATGGATTTCTGGACTTTACTGCATTTCATGACTTCTCACAGATTAGTGTTTGCTTTGTTTTAATGAAATGGAGCTTAACATTAAATCAACTTTTCTCTCTTTAGTGTCGAAAGCATCTGAAGACACGCCGGCTAACTGAGATTAAGCAGCTTGGAATCGACAGGATCGTGGACATCCAGTTTGGTTCGGATGAGGCTGCCTACCACTTAATTGTTGAGCTCTATGACAGGGTTAGAACATCACTTCCAGCTGCTGGTCCCACATCTTGTAACATTCCTCATTCAAACCGTGTGTGATCACATCCATTTCAGGGCAACATCATCCTCGCAGACCATGAGTACACAATCCTGAATCTGCTGAGGTTTCGAACGGCAGAAGCAGAAGATGTTAAGATTGCTGTGAGGGAGCGGTACCCAGTGGAGAGCGCCAGACCACCTGAACCTCTCATTAGCTTGGAGAAGTAACACCATTTATAATAGATGTTTAGATAGAGAAGCCATACATGAATTCAGTTAGCATTTATTTAATGACTGTACTGCAGTGAGAAAAGAACCTGCTATAAATGTTGTTTCTGTTTAGACTCACTGAAATCTTGAGCAGAGCACCAAATGGGGAGCAAGTGAAGAAAGTCCTGAACCCTCACCTGCGTAAGCTGTCACTCGGCAATCATCACGTCTTTTAGGGAACTTGTTTTTGAGATCCATAACCCTAGGGACATTTTAATAAAATGTAAAAGAAAAACGGTAATAAGAGCTAAGATATGAACAAAGATAAACATCGACTAAAAATACACTAAGCACTAATAGCATAAAAACAATACGCTGAACAGCAGCATGAACGTCATATTTAGCTACATCTATTAGCACATTTAGCTACTTCACTGACTCGGTTCTTCTGACAGTGAAGTGATGAACAACCTGAAAAGCTCTGAGGTGTATCAGTATCTACACAGTAATAAGGTCGGTGGTGTTTTGTTAAAAGAGCTAGGACACAATCTTATTGACCTTAAATCAGACACAGAGCCCAGTCAAAGACTTAAAGTCCTCCATCACTGAGCTTGGCTTAATTCCAGAGAAAATCATTAAACTGAAGATGAACAAATACAATAAATCAGTTTCCTCCATTCACTTGAAATCATCTCTGATATTCTCGTCACTGTTTTCAATCCTTCTGAGGATTCGGAGTCTCTACTCCTGTGGTTGATTGTAGTCCAGACCCAAAGTAGGATGCAGGTTTTCCTCTGTCGGCCGTTTGTCAACAAAGTGAAATGAGCTCACAGACAGAGTTTTGAGTGGTCTCTTCAAGTTCACATTTTTCAGACACATTCTTTTTAATTCCTCATCTGTTGGTAGGAGATGGAAACTGTACCTCTTTCACAGGAACACTGTTTGTTTTGGGTCTGTGTTCAAATGTTGTAGCCACTGATTTAGTTTGGTCTGGTTGTTCGTGCAGCCATGAACACAACAGGTTCCTGAACTCAGCACGGCTATTTTAGTAAACTTTATGGTTGTTTAATAAATGAGAACAAAACAAAAACAGTGTTTTATCTGCTAAACTGAATGCAAATTACTTTCAAATAAACCGCGGTCTGTGCTCTGCTACCGCGGTTAACCAGTGCTTACTGCTACTTCCTGTCTGACAGGAAGTTGTACCAGAATCATTTATACAGTAGAGCCCCCAGGAATAAGGTGGATACTAAACACTGTCATTTAATAATTAAGATCCTAAAGAGGGCATTTCATTAAAAATACTTTAGTACTGTCTCTAAGAAATGTAAAAAACTACAAGTGTTAGAAACTTCTCGTCTTTCTAAGTTTTAAATATTGGCCATTACAAATACATTTGTGAGAATTCCTTAATTTCAGAGTTTTTAGAGTTAATCATGTACACGAATATTAGAACTGAATTCAGCTTTGTGTCTTTTCTGTGACCAGCCTATGGGGCCACTCTGATCGAGCACAGTTTAATCGAAGCAGGACTGCCCGGCTCGTTCAAAGTGGACGCTCAGGTTGATGCTGCTGAAGGTAAAGCGCAATTTAGCTTTTTTTTTTTTTTTTCAAGTTAATTGAATTACCCAACTGTATTTACTCTTCTTTTTCTCAGTTGCACCTAAAATCTTGGCAGCTCTGCAGATTGCTGAAACCTACATGGAACAAACAGAAAAGTTTAGTGGCAAAGTAAGTATGGAAGATTTAACGAGGCGTTGTAATGTATGCAGTGAGTTTATGATCTGTATGAGTTGTGTCTTGTTATATAAAGGGTTACATCATTCAAAAGAGTGAGAAGAAACCAAGTTTAACTCCAGGCAAACCCAGTGAGGAACTTCTCACGTATGTCTTGTTTTGGTACATATGATGTTCACGTCATGAGTGTCAGTTTAATTCAATCATTTATCGTTTTATTATTACAGATATGATGAATTCCATCCGTTCCTCTTTGCTCAGCATGCAAAAAGCCCTTATTTGGAGTTTGATCGTTTTGACAAGGTGAACATCCTCATGACTGCTGCACGGTGGCGCAGGAATGACGCCGTCATTAAAGGGATATTTTTATTCAGGCAGTGGACGAGTTCTTTTCTAAAATGGAGAGTCAGAAGATCGACATGAAAGCCTTGCAGCAGGAGAAACAGGCGATGAAGAAGTTGGAAAATGTTAAAAAGGACCACGAGCAGAGGCTGGACGCCTTGCACCAAGCACAGGTTGGCAACGAACAGCCCGTCAGCTTCTCCTGATGAACAAATTCAGCTTTTATTTCTGCACTTTGCTGCAAGCTTGGCGACAGAAGCCTGTTTTGTGTGCTGCAGGAGGTGGACAGGGTGAAAGGAGAACTGGTAGAGATGAATTTGCCCATCGTAGAACGGGCGCTGCAGGTGGTCTGCAGTGCTCTGGCCAACCAGGTGGACTGGACTGAAATAGGCATCATTGTGAAGGAAGCACAAGCTGCTGGTGACCCTGTGGCTTGTGCTATCAAGGAGCTGAAGCTGCAGACAAACCACATGACCATGCTTTTAAAGTGAGAGCAGCACTGAGGGAACCCACTTGTCTGAAATCTGATAACTGCATGTGCGGCTTTTTTCTCCACTAGAAATCCTTACATTTCTGAGGGGGACCAAGGAGATGTGGAGAACAAAGATGTAGTGGAGGAGAAAGGGAAGAAAAGCAAGAATAAAGACAAAGGACAAAACAAGAAGCAGCAATGGAACAAGCCCATGTTGGTGGACGTGGATCTCAGCCTGTCAGCTTATGCCAATGCCAAACGGTAGGTGTGCATGTGGACACAGAAATATGCATGATGTGGAGAAGATGATGGACCTCACTGTGCTTCTTTAAGGTACTATGACCACAAACGCAGTGCAGAGAAGAAGGAACAAAAAACCATGGAGGCAGCAGACAAGGTGGGGCAGCCAGCAGCAGCTCATAGTTTAAAGCAGCAGGTTTAGCAGCTTTGCAACTGAAAATCATTGCACATTGAATGAAAATGAACTAATAAGCACTTTTTCTTGTGAAGGCTATGAAATCTGCTGAGAAAAAAACCCAACAAACACTGAAGGAAGTGCAGACCGTTACCACCATCCAGAAGGCCAGGAAAGTCTACTGGTAAGATGCTACGAGTTTGCAGACGTTCATCAGCTGAAATATTGTAACTGAGTCTTTTCTTACCCTGTGGCCTCAGGTTTGAGAAGTTCCTGTGGTTCATCAGCTCGGAGAATCATCTCATCATCGCAGGAAGGGACCAGCAGCAGAACGAGATGATTGTGAAACGCTATCTTCGGGCAGGTAGGGCAACTTTTACGTGCCTCTTAGGAAGGATCGGCTCCAAGACGTTAACGATTGATAAAATGCAGGTCTTTGTTTAAAATCACAACAACCAGTCCTGAGATCTGACAGGTGCAATAAGTGAGAGCCTGCTCACAACCTCTCAGGAACTGGTTTATCTCACTGTTTGTATCTTCACTGTCAGGTGATATCTATGTTCATGCTGACCTCCATGGAGCAACTAGCTGCGTCATCAAAAACCCGTCAGGTACACGGTTTTCTAAAGTGACTACCTTTACTAGACTCATCAGAGTTAACTTTCCAGCAATGTTCATTCAGGTCATCTGGACAGTTTCTTTTTTTGTTGAGGCGTTTCACCTCCATCTGAAACGCTTCATCAGTCTGAGGAGCCACAAACAAACTGATGAAACATCTCAACAAAAAAAGAAACTGACCAGATCATGGTTGGATTTTTACCTGGATTATTGAGGATGAACCAAGAGTTAACTTTCGTCTCTTCCTCTTCATTTCAGGGAATCCCGTTCCTCCCCGGACTCTGACAGAAGCTGGCACTATGGCTGTGTGTTACAGCGCTGCATGGGATGCCAAAATCATCACCAGTGCTTGGTGGGTCCATCACAACCAGGTTAGTGGTGAAACAAATGTGAACTTTGATCGTCTCCTTATGATCGGGGAGAATGCGGATCCATAAACCCTGCAACCTGCAGAAGCCTAAAGCATTCTCTAAAACAGCTGCAGCCTTCCTGCAGCTGTTTTAGCATCACATCTGTCAGTTTTACTTACGAACAAGATGCTCAGTATTTATACCAGAGTAAAAAATATGTTAACTACAGTTCTCATTCATTTTCATCCCAACTCTTAAACTCAAAAGCCCATTTTGAAGTAATAGCCATATAATAATACCAATAATGTGTGTGAACTGCAGGAGTGCAGGGGTTCTGACATGCACATTGTTAGTTTTTAAGAGTGAAAAAACTGTTTTTTCAAGCTGACCTCTCTTAAGTGGCTTTAAGAATCTGTTGGACTCGTCAGGGACCAATGCAGACATGTTCCTGTTTTTAGTTTTCTACATTCACCTTATAATCTAGCTGCTTTTTGTTATTTTTCTTTTTTTCAGCCATCCTATTTGTTTTAAAAAAAAAATAATCTGTATGACTTTTTATAACTGTTTATTGTTGTCCATTGTTGTCATCATTCTTTGTTGAAATCAGGTCTCTCTTGTAAATGAGTCCTCGAGGCTCAATGGGATTTACCTGTCTAAATAAAGGTTGAATGAAAAAAAAAAAAAACACTACTCAAGTGCCATCCAACAGATGAAAATGTTAGTGTTCAATATTTTCAGTCAGAATGAATGAAAACGTTCATATCTCAGACAAAAATTGTTTATAAATATGGGAAAAATCCATAAATAAGTTGCTTCAGCATATAAGTCTGAGCATTTAAATTATGCAAAAAAACATGACTTATAAGCTGAAAAATACGGTAAATGTTTGTAAATTGAATTAAACCAAATGACTACAAAATTAGCATTTTTTCCCCACATTTAAAATAAAAAAAATTTGAAGTTCTTGACAATAAAAAAAGGGAACTTTCTCTGCTCCATCATATTGCAGAGGTTCCTTACCCTCTATGGAGTACTCATAATTTGCAAGTAGCTTGTTTGTTTACATAGAAAGAAAGAAAATAATCATTTAATCAGTATAAAGCTTTATTTCAATGTTCATGCTGGAGTGTTTTGGTTGTTTTCAGGTGTCTAAAACGGCTCCAAGCGGAGAGTATCTGACCACTGGAAGCTTCATGATCAGAGGTAGGACTAAAGCTTTGAGATGCACAAATGTCATGATTAAACCTAACGGGTATAAATGACCTACTGTAATTACTCATCTTGGAATTCTTTTCTGAAGGGAAGAAAAATTTTCTGCCTCCCTCCTACCTGATCATGGGTTTCGGGTTTGTTTTTAAGGTAAACGGCAGCTTTGAACAATCATGAAATATTATTTTCAAACAATATTTTCAGTTGTCGTTTCTTTGGCCTCCCACAGGTGGACGATCAGAGCGTGTTTCGACACCGAGGGGAACGAAAGGTAAAAACTGTAGAAGAAGACATGGAAGACCTCACATCCAGAGCTGCTGAGCTGTTAGAGGAAGGCGAGGAGCTGATAGGTGGGAGGACAAATCATTTAACGTGTTCATGTTTGTGGGAAAAACTCCAATCAGCTGATGGAGCCGCCGCTCTTCCTCTTCCAGGGGATGACAGCAGCAATGAAGATCAGGGAGACGATGGAGAGACAAAGGAGGCAGAAGACAAAAGGATGGAGGAGAATGGTGAGATGGGAAAGGATGAGAGTGGAGAACCAGAGGAGCAGGCTGCAGACGCAGGAGGGATGCACAACCCGGAGGAGCACAAGGAGGAAGAGAGCGGTGAGGAAGAAGATCCAGACTTGGAGGAATTCAACTTTCCAGATACAACCATCTCCCTCTCTCATTTACAACCAAGCAGGTAACGTCATCTCCAGACCAGGAACTTAAACCTGCCCGAGGTTTTACTTTAACATCTCCTGCCTCGCTTCTAGGAGCTCTCAGAGCCCCGGCTGTAACAACGAAACAACAGCTCAGGTAACGATTCACCTTTTGATGCATTTATTATCACCTTTCAAAATATGATTTAAACTTTTATTTCTTTAGGCGGACGTGGATTCCCAAGGAAGAAAACACATGAGTGCCAAACAGAGAAGGTGGGAGAATGAAACAGAGAAGCCAAATACAAACCACAGGCTGCATTTGCTTTTTTAAGCTTTTGGATTAAAATGGTGATGGATGTATTTTTTAGAGAAGAGAAGAAGAAGAAGCAGAAACAGGAGGGCTGTAATGCAGAGGAGAAGACTGAGATTTCATCTGTGGCGTCAGCTGGGGAGAAGGGGCCCAAAAGTGGGGGAGGCCCCTCACAGCAACCTCTGAAGAGAGGTCAGAAGGTGAGAGAAAACAGTGGACACGCATTGTTGCTTTCAAACATTTAAAATCCTTCTTTGTTTTACAAACAAAATAAGAGACTGCTCACAGTGAAATAATCATTTAGATGTCTAGTTTTTAACAGGGTCATAAACAGAGTGACAGAACAATGTAGGCTCCTCACGTTAAAATTACTATAAGTGTGATTAATGCATATGAAAATGACTCTGATCAATTAAAACATGAAGTTAAAGAAACATTATTTTAGTATTGTGTCCCGTTCACTGTTTTTAAATCTGTTAATCTGTTTGTTTATAAGAAACTGACAAATAAAAAGACCGTAATTTCCGGTACGGGTGCACGCCTCGGATTTCCTTAATTTTGGAAAATTGGAAATCGGCCGATGCATGAGAAACCGATTTTTTTTTTTTTTTTTAGTTTTAACAACAATTGTCTGAACTTCATTTATATTTCAGAGCTCTACCTCATGGCCAGTTAAAATAAGTTTGTATTGTTTCTAGGATATTGTGGTTCATTGTGGTTGATTGTTGGTCACATGGCCTCAGGGAGGGATTATGTGTTAACTTTATGTTCATTCTGAAAAAAAAAGTGAAGTCAAGTCCTCTGGATGGATTCTTTTTGTTGAAACGTTTTGTCTTTTTCCAAAAGACTTCATCAGTCTGAGGAGCTGCAACAAAAGACGAAACATTTCAACAAGAAAGAATCTGTAGATTTTTCTATGTGGATTGTTGGACATCAGGATATTTATGTTCATTGTTAATCATTTCAGTTATCTGTTTCACATTGTGCTTTTAGTGATTACTGTATTTTTTGCCCTATAAGTCGCTTTTTTATTTTTATTTTTGCATAATTTACATGCCCTGCGACTTATAGCCCGAAGCGACATATTTATGGATTTTTTCCCATATTTATAAACCATTTTTTGGCTGAGATATGACCGTTTTCACTCATTCTGTCTGAAAAAAATTGAACAGTACCATTTTCAACCGTTAGATGGCAGCAGTTGTAAGGCATGCTGTTGTATCATATAATAAATGTGGTAAATGTGGCTATAATGACAAATTCAAAAAAGTTCAAGACAAAAACAACTGGACTTTATTTATTATACATTATTATTTTTGTCTTGAACTTGTTTGAATTTACCATGTCCTGGAGGACTGAGAATCTTCACCAGCTATTAATGACACAATCGGCCTGCCATATTCCCCCACCTTCATTCTGCTCGCTGCTTGGAGCAAGAGTCAAATCAGCTTCATTTTGTTGCACCACCCCGGCAAAACGCAGCTGATTTGACCATTAAGTGCATTTATTAAGTAAAAGTTCAACTGAGACACACCTTTGCTATAATACCAAGCAAACAAATAATTGTTTTAGATGCTTTTGTTGTTAAATTCTAAAGAAATGCAACGGCTGGTCTTCGCAGCACATCAGCAGCGAAACTATTTTGAAATTCAGCTGGTTTGACATTAAAGTGCATTTTTAAAGAAATAGTCCAACTGAGACACACATTTACCATAATTTCGTGCAAACAAACAATTGTTTTTAAGTGTTAATCTTGTTAAAGTCCTCCCATGCACGCTCCCGCAGCCGCCATTTGGCAGCCCTTCAATTTTTGGCACGACACCGGCCCACATTTCCAGGTTGACAGCGGTGAAGCATAATAGATGTGACTTATACAGCGAACTGACGTAGTTATGGATTTTTTCACTTTTTTTAAACATATTTGGACTCATTCGACGTATAGGGCAGTGCGACGAAAATATGGTAGTCTGTTCTTGTTAGCCTAGTTTATGTGTTCATTATGTGTTAGTTTGTGTTGGACCATTCAGTAGAGTAACCATGAGTGAGGGAGGTAGTTGTCATAACGACCTGTGGGGTTCACTCTGTCTGTGTGTGATGGACAGTAAAATCTATGAAACACCATCTGGTGGTTGATTATTGATCTACAACAGGAGCTGTACATCTCTCTCAGTAGCTGTGGCTTATACACAAGCATGGCCTCGATATGTACAAAATCTTTTTGTTTGATTAGTGTGCGAGGCTTATATTCAGGCGTGCTCAATAGTCTGAAAATGATGGTAAATATCTGTTAATGAAGCCCCAGACTTGATTTAAGCATCTTCCAGGCTGGATCTGAGATGAATCAATGAAAGAATGCAGTAACAGACTTTAAGTTTTTTTAAATGGAAAGTCTTATTAAACTCACAATATTCAGATAAAACATTCAAATAGCTTTCGATATGGTCAAATGTGTCTCCTGTCGTCTACAGAACAAGATGAAGAAGATCAAAGAGAAGTACAAAGACCAGGATGAAGAGGACAGAGAGCTGATGATGCAGCTGCTCGGGGTGAGAAGAGCACACTGCAGCTCTAAACGTGCACGTGCTGTAAAGTGACATGAGCAAAGTGTCCTAGAAAGACCAACATTCAGCCACTTTTCTCCTTTTAGTCAGCTGGATCCTCCAAGGAGGATAAAGAAAAGGGGAAGAAGGGGAAAAAGGGGAAGGAGGAGCCCGTCAGGAGGCCAGCCTCTCAGAAACAGCAGAGACCTCGAAATGTTGCAACGGAAGTGAAGAAAGTGGAGGGAGAGGAGACGCAGCCCGGAGAAGAGGGAGGTCCTGCTGAACAGGAGGACAAGGTACACAACAACGCTGAGTTAAATGTAGATGGTAAAAGTATAAAAATAACACGTTGATAGATTTATAATACTCCTGTTTTTGTTGTTTTTCTTCAAGGAAGATGAAGTGGATCAGGACAATCCTGGAGCAGAGGTTTGTGAAACCTATAAAAGTGCAACTTAAAGAAAACGCTTCACTTTCTCCCCCAAGAACAATTTATTGAAATGTGTTTGGTGCACCAGGAAGCAGAAAACTTGCTAACGTCTCTGAGCGGTCAGCCTCACGCCGACGATGTGCTGCTGTTTGCGGTGCCGGTGTGCGCTCCGTACACCGCCCTCTCCAACTACAAGTATGTGTGCAAACTGTCTTTCTGTGTGTAAAAATAAAAGACTAAACGATACACTTCCAAATAATGAGTTTGTTCTCCACAGATACAAAGTGAAGTTAACACCAGGTTCTCAGAAGAAAGGAAAAGGTACGCATGACTTATTTGATCCATCTTTCTTTGAGGTTGGAACAAACAAAAAGGGTCGACAGCAACGTGACTTTCTTTTTGCTCCAACAAGCTGCTCGGACCGCACTGTTCAGTTTCATAAAAGCCAAAGAGGCCTCGTCCAGAGAAAAAGACCTGTTCCGCAGCGTCAAGGTAAGAACACAGGAGTTGAATTACAGAAAAGTTTGCACCCTTGAGGAACAAAGTTTACCAAAACCAAGTTTTCAGTTTTTTACTGACTGAAGCCAAATGCAAAAGAGTAATAATGTTTTTGCTTGCGTCTGTTTTTTCTCACTCGCTCTTGAGCAAGACGGATGCTTTTCTTCCCTCTCCCGTCCTCCTCCTGCTTTTGTGCTCTGTCTTGTGTATCAAAGCTCCTGTTGTCACATATTCCGAATCGTAAACTACTGTCATGGATCTGGTCAGCTGGACTTTCAGCGCAATCAATAACATTTTTTCAACCAAGCGACATGGTCCTGGAGAACCCTCATGCCCTGCTGAGACGCACGCGGCAGGGTACGTCATGGATCCGCGGGAGGTTTGGAAGTTGATGTGCCTTTCCGTATTGTCTGAAAGAGGACGCTGAAGATGTTTAAATACAGTGAGGCCAAAAAGTATTTAGTCAGCCTCTGATTGTGCAAGTTCTCCTACTTCGAAAGATGAGGTCTGTAATTTTCATCACTTCAACCATAAGAAACAAAATGAGGAAAAAATCCAGGATTTCACATTGTAGGATTTTTAAAGAATTTATTTGTAAATTATGTTGGAAAATAAGTATTTGGTCAGTAACAGAAGTTCAACTCAGAACTTAGTAGCATAACACAAAGTTTGTTTTCTCAGTCATCCAGGTATATAACAACAAAAAA